TTAATCCCTTTTCTGAATAATTACATAAGTTCAGTCATGAATATCCATCTTTCTACCTATTACTGATTTTTTTTTTTTTTTTTTTTTTTTTTTTTGCGGAATCAGGGATTGAACTCAAGCCCTTGTGCTTGCCTGGGAAGCACTTATTCCACTGAGCCATCTCCCCGGCCCCTACTGAAATTCTTTAACTCCATCTTCATAAACAAGAGTATCACGTACAACATAAGAATGTAAGAAAACCCAAAAATATTCCATGGGTGCATGGATGAATAAATACCAGATGCCATAAACCTATGATGGTGAACCTATGGCGCACGTGTTATATAGCATGCAGGCGGAGCGCTATCAGCATGCAAGCCAAGTCACCCCAGCAGAGCATTGGACAACAGTTGTTTTTTTCTAAACTAAAACCTCAGTATTGAGGTTTAATTTCAGTGTTGACACTCTGTGATAAGTAAGTGGACTTTGGGGTTGCATTTTGGGCATTCAGTCTCTAAAAGGTTCACCACATGGCCACTGACTAGCCCAAAAATAAACACATGAAAGAGATAAACTACATAGAAAAATTTCACAGACATTATGAGATTTTGCCAAATGAATGTAGTGAGTTTAGAAAACATAACAATGAATAGGAGGAATACCACAGCTCAGTAGTAGAACACTTGTCTAGCACAGCCGAGGCCCTGGTTTTGATCCACTGCACCAAAATCAAGTAAGAAAACCAAACAAAAACTCCCAAGTAATATCCATCCACATAAAAGGACAAAAATACTTTCTCACAATAGAAAAAAATGTAAGTACGAAAAAACCTAGCTGTCTATCTGCCAAGAATGTATGTTAAACATCTTGGTACTGTTAAAAAATAAAAAGTAAATAAATAAATAAATAAATAGCCTTTTCCTCACTTGCTTCAAAACCACATAAAGGATGCCTAAACTTTACTTCAAAGCTGGAAATCATCTGACAAATCTCAAAAAAAAAAAAAAAAAAAAAAACTTATCAACAGACAGCAAAAGTATGGTAACAAGGTACAGTCAAGAATGGACATAAATATATCACATCTATGTTTTAAAAATCATATGCTTGACTATTTAAAAAATGTATTACAGTAAAATTAATCCACTTTAAAATATTCTCACTTCAAACATATTTACCACATCATTCTTGCCACTTTCTAAAATGTCTTTGGTAAGTGTCTTTAATTGCACTACTGTAGCCATCTCCATATCCTGAATCAATTCAAAACATTTACCCTTCATGATCATTTTGACTTTGGGGAGGAGTCAGACATTGATGGGTGTCAGATTCAATGAGTAACATGGATGAGAGCACACTGTAATGTTTTCAAGAGCCAGACTTCCTGTTGTATGGCACTCATTTGCAGTATTCACTAAATTTCCTTTATTATTATTATCATTCTCATTCCCAGAATTGCTTGGGAAAGTGGCAAGAATAATGAAATAAGTGTGTTCAAAGTAAGGGAGACTAAAGGTAATGTGTTTTGAAAGAGAGAGAGAGAAAGGGAGAGAGAGAGAGACAGACAGACAGACAGACAGACAGACACAGTTAGTTCACCATACTCTTTGATCACATGTTTGGCATTCTGATCCTATCAATGGTATAAGCACAATAGAAAATACTATTCTGTATGTTTCCTGGGATCTATCTGAAGACAAATTTTCTATTAGAAGGAAAAAAAAAAAAAAAAAAAAAAAAAACCAGATCAATAAAATGATGATAGATAAATGTATTTAAAATTTGGAATCACTGTACAAATTAATCTTTAAAAAAAAAAATCCCAGAGTTAGAGGGACATCTGTAACTATGTTAAAGCGATTATAGGATGAAAAATAAAATAGCTCTCAGCACCTATGAAGATTCTTTTACAGGTATAAATGAAGCTCAATTATCTAACTATGAATTTGATTTATCAGAATTTTTGAAATTGACCAAGTAAGACTATTAAGTAGATGTGATCCTGATGCTAGTTTTATTAACAAAATAATAGTTTGAAGATATCAAGTAAACTACAACTAAAGCAAATGGTTCATACTGACAAACAGAGATGGAAGTGAGAAAGCACCATCAGAGTTAAAGTCATTAATAATAAGGAGGTTTCTATATTGTCAGTTTTACAGTTACTGCTGCTTCAATGAATGTTTGCTTCATTTTAGATACAAATTAATCATTTAAAGTCATACAAATGTTTTATGCATACTACATACACATACTTAAATGAGTAAAAGGAACAAAAATACAAACATCAGTAGAGGATCTGCTACACATAACTAATGAAAAAAGTGAGGACTGTATTGAAACAAGATATCAGTAAAATACAGATATGATAGGGATGTGCATGTCAATATAAAAATTGGCTCATTTTCAGTCTCATTTAAAAGATGTACTGTCCTGATCTGTATAGTGAGACCCTGTAGACTCTATACTAAATATATATTAAGAAATAATAAAAGAGGGACTAGGGAGATAGTTCAATAGAATAAGTGCTTGACTGGCAAGCGCAAGGGCCTGAGTTCAATCCCCAGTTCCACCAAAAATTAATAAATAAGATAAAATAAAAAAATAATAAAAGGGGGGAACTACCTGCTCAGGCCCGCCTCCTGTCCCTCTCTTGGACAGTAGCTTTCTTTCTCTCAATAAATATATTCTGGGGCTGGTGAGATGGCTCAGTGGTCTAAAGCACCTACTTAGAACAAGCTTAGCAAAGCACAGGGACCACGGTTCAATCCCCCAGCACC